TTTGGTCATGCTTAAAGGTCTCCTCTCCTATTCAAGTTGTATTCTCCGAGAACATCTCATCCTTAGGTGTTTAAAGGCTGAATCAGCAGCAAGAATAGATAAATCCTACAGGCAGTGTTGTGCAAATGGCTAGTAACTTAACAACAAAAGTTGTACATGTAGGTGGGAAGTAAGTGATAACAGAGCTATCTCCAAATAGGTCCTTGGATGAATTTTTCTCCCACAGATTTCAGTGCCTCTTAAGCCTGGGAGTTCATAGTACTGCTTCTCTTACTCACTTAATTGCTCTGTCCCAGTGGGGATCTCACAGGCACAGAAAACACATCCTTTTCTGAATAGTCCAGATGGCTGCGGTCATTTGGCTTCTCCTGGTGCTGCCGTTGGCATTGCCCAGGACGTGCCGACCGCCGTCCATCTCCTGTGGTGGCTCTGGGCGCTCTGTTCCTGTTTGCATCCTTGCGGTGAGAATTATTTGTAGCTTTCAAGAGCATTCTGTGGAGGGGCACGCTCTGTTCCTTTTTCCTCTTGTACCTCTTTGAGACCAGTTGCCTCTTCATTTTTGTTTTATTGGTTTCTTAAAAGGCTGCCAGCTGGATATAGGTAAGTGGGGGTTTTCTCTGCTGCAGTCTGCAGAGAACAAGCATCAGTACGTAGCTGTTTAGTCCTGGCAACTGCTTCCTATTTTTCCAGATGATTCCAGCCAGCTCTTTTTGTGTTTAGCCTATTGTCCAGTGCTGTCACAAAGACTTGGGGTATTAATCCCATCATCTGTTCAGCGTGTGGAACTGCTGAGTGGGCTGTGCAGTGAATGAGAAGCCGTAGGTACCAGGGAGAAGGGGTATGGTGTGTAGGCGTGTTTGGAGCACAGTCAGAATTCCTGCCTTTCCCTGGCTGTACTGATGGAATGTAAAAATTTCCTTCTGTGTCTCCAGCGGGAACGTGCAAGTGCGAAGGTCTGATGGCAGCAGGAAGGCAGGTGGAACGGGAAGCAGGCTGGAGTGGCGGAGGGGCATAGCCCTTCTCTGCGTCTGTGGTTGTCTGCGTGCTGTTGCTCCGCTGAAGAAGGCTCTGACGGACTCGTGCATCTTGCTCAGAGCAAACAGAACGGTCGAGTCAGCGCTTCAGATCAAGGCCAGAATATGACAAACGGACTAAACCTGACAGCTCCCGAGGTCGCGGGTGTTGAATACGTAAGGATTCAGCTTTGAGTCTTGCAGGCTGAGTCCATCTCTAGCAAGCAGAACGTGTCTGCCGCAAAGGAGCTGGCAATTCTTCGGTGCTGGCTGCGTGTTCCGCGTCCTTCTGCGGCAGAGCTGCTGTAACGGCGTCTGTGAAACCCAAACTCCCTGTCCTGCAGGCTGCCTTTCACCAGAGCTGCAGCTCTGCGCTGCGGGTCCTTGCCAGCATATTTAGTTTGAGAACTTCCTACTCATCGACTCGTGTCTTCCCCCATACTGTGGTTGTCAAGCAGTCTGTGTGATTGCCCTTTAAACTGGATCCATGATATGATGCAAGGAGCAAAAAAATCTATTTTCCTCAAACACCCCCACCCAAAGTATTTGTTTTTAAAAATAATGATTTCACACATCTAATTTGGAATCAGCACAGCTGAGGGGGCCATAATGAGTGTCTGTAAATTGGGTGATGGGAACTTCTTAAACCAGAGCAGCTGCCAAAGGCATCTTAACATGGAGCTTCTGCCGTAACGAGGGACAGCTTGGCAGGCCAGGATCTGCAGCCGAAGAGCTGATTCCAGGCTGGATTTGTTCTCCACCTAGCTGCTCAAATCGGTGCTCCTTAGGCCCAGAAGCCTTTAGATGCCTCCGTGCTGAGCGGAGCACCCAGGAGCGGGGAAGGCTTGTGAACTAGGAGTAGTCAGGAGGAGAAAACTGTTGTGTATTGCACATCTCAAAAGCATTTATTGTTTTTTAGAGGGTTCAGGCAGGATAGGGAGGGAGGGCTTTGTTGCTGGCATATACAGATGTGTTTCTAGCCAGGCATTGAGTGTTAGCAGTGCAGAGAAAAATGTGTGCTTGGGCTTTCAGTGGGAAACAACAACAAAAGAAATCCTTTCCATTTCTTTCAGCTGGAAAGTGATGCCAGGAGCTGTTGTTTTAGAGAATAAGAAGTCTGGATTTATAAGCACTCGTGTGAGATACACCTTGGAATGTGTATCAAGAAAATCTACATAGAGAAAATGTAAAGCGTGGAAAGTAGGTGTTACTGCTGACTGCCAGGGAAAACCAAGGGTGTTGTGGAAATCTCTTTGTGTGTTTCTTAAATAAAATTATATTTTTAAAAAAAAACGAAACAAAAAGAAAACCCAACATCTGTTTGCGTATAAATAGATATGTTTCTTCTGATTTCATAGTGGCCATTACAGTGTGTGCCAGAAGAGAAGGAATGTCTCCAGAAAATGTTGAAGTTACAACACCCAGATAAAACCTGCTCTTGCTACCTCCGTAAAGATACAGTCAGCTCAATCTTGCAGACAGCAAACGTGCTGGGGAACTCGAGGTGGCTGCCAGATCTTTCTCACTTCTTTTTATATAATTTGCCACATCCGTAGTTAGCTGGAGGGTGAATATTAAGACAGGCAGCAGCACTGGAAGCTAAGCAGTGGTGTGTTGAAAAGTTCTGCTTGGGCAGGAGATAATTAATGTGATTATTTTTTTTGCAGTGACCACCCTTAGATATCCTAAAGCGCTGGCTTGAGCTGGAAGGAAGGGCACCTCTGAAAGGATGCTACTGTCCCCTGGGAGTGGGCTGGAATAGTGTCCAGTGAGCCCCGAACACAAAGCTGATGGGTTTGGTTTTGTTGTTTATTAAAGACAGGCCTTTGTACAGCAGTAACGGAAAATCCTATTTCTGTACCAATAAAAACTTTTTCCCATGGTGGTTGTTATTGGCAAACTTAGTCACTTTGGTGTTTATGGAAAAAGTATTTACTGGGAAGGACTGGATGGTTAGCAAGCTTAATCTGTTTTCATTTTGCTTTGATGGCACACATGTTGCTGTGAGACCTTCTATTTCATCCCTGTACCCCATCCACAGTCCATCCTTCCAGGCTTTATCCAGCTTCTGCAGCGTGGCCAGCTGATGCCCCAGCTGTTTGCCGTAGCGAGGTGGAGCATTGCCTGGGTCTGGCTCGCACTCTCCTTTCTGGCCCGGGGGGCATCAGCTTTGTGTTGGTTCCTACTTTACCACACGGGCGCTGGAACAATGCAGCGTGTGTTTTGTGGCAGTTGGGTAGACCTAGTTGGCATGTGGGGTATCAGCCAGCTGACAGTAACAATAGTAAAGAGCTCGAGTGCTGCTGAAGGATTAAAAGAAGCTTCTCTAATAAATGCAATTACGCAAACATGCTTGAGCCGTGTGTCCTATTTAATTCTTGCCCAAGAAAAGAGGAATTCCTCAGGGCACTGCTTTTGTCTGAGTGAAAGATATCCCAGTGCCTCAGGCATCCTCTCTGAATCCAGAGTGGCTCTTCTGTGTCCTGGGTGGCAACTAATACTGGGCTTCAGATTCCTCTGAAGAACAGTTATTCCTCCAGGACTGAGTCAGTTCTTTTGCCAGGCAGCAGCTTTAGAGCTGGCAGAGCCCTCGCTGCCATCCAGACCTCCCAGGCAGCTTTCCCTGCTGGATGTGGCTCCCTGCCTGCACGTCCTGGGCGTCGTGTTTGCCCACAGAGGTTCCTCTGCCCCATGCTAAGGAGCCTTTCACGCACGTTCTTGCAATCCATGATCTTCCAAGTGGGCCCTCACCGCTTCCAAAGGGTACCTTGACACCAAGAAAGGCACCAGGCTGCGCACTGGGACAGGTTGTGCTCGTTCCCTGTCAGGGCGGTTTTAAATCACACCTTTCATGTGTTTTGTTCTCTCCTGCTGCTGAGTGGATTTCCTCTCTCTGCCTTTCACATGAACAGGACTCACGATGGAGTGAGATGGAGAAAATGTCTTACAGGCTGTTACGGAGCCACCGGCAGCACCCAAGAAATACTCACTGGGGCGAACGGATGGGCGCCCAGCTCTGGGAATTAGGGCTGTTGGCTGGAAACACGCGGCAGCCTCCGCGGTGCGGAGGAGGCAGTTGGTTAAGGCAGGTGTGTGCGGATGTACGAAACGTGGTCCAGATCCATCCGCAGGTTTCCTGGTTCTCGGGCATGGCTTTGGCTTTGCTTCTCTGTGAGCAGCTGGGCAGGCGTAGGGGTGCATCCCGAGGGTGGGACTGACGGAAGGGGACAACCTGGGCCCACTCGGAGATTGCGCAGTGTGACGCGGAGAGAGCACGTTTGTGCTGCCCCAGGGTCAGGTTGCTCTTCACTAAATAGGTGGCCAGTGCTAGTGGGCCGGGGAGGGAAAACCTTCAATGTTTCTCTTTTCTCTCAAAACTCTGTCTCCTCCCTTTTAAGGGTATTTAGTCTGAAATCATCACTCTTCTGTAGAAGCTGAGGTTTTAAGAAAATCATTAAATATTCCAAGGTTCCTGGTAAGGTTCAAGTTAAAGATTTAAATGATCCAGAAAAGCTGCTCTTTGACTTTGCCAGCTCCTTGCCCCTCAGTGCATATGTTCCCTGAGGAATCTCATAGGTAGCTTGCGTGCAGAGAGCAACTGTGCTCTTGCTCATAAGAACCAAATGTTTAATTCAGCGTGTGCGTGTCAAAGGACATTAAAAATGCCAGTAGCACTTGCTGTGTGTGAGGCAGCTCTTGTAAGCGAGGCACCATCACGAGGTAATGTTGTAGGCTCGACACAAAAGGAGCCTGCTGCCTCCTGGAAGTGTCCTGGCTACCTGGAGCATCCTGCCGGACTGGACTGGCCTTGCCCCACTGTCTTCAAAACATTGCCTTTGCATGGTGGTGCCGTGAGATCCGGGGAAAACACGGGGCAGAGAGGATGTGCCATGACTGGTGATTATCTGGTGTGATTTTGCTACATGGTCCTGGTTTAGCCTTATTTCTATCAACCAGCCAACTGAATTTTGTTTTCTTGCCTTTCAGTCCTTTCAAGGAAGCCAAGGACGAGCGTACCTCTTCAATTCAGTGTAAGTATAACTGTGTCACCTCTGCATCAATTAAGATAGATTTAAGAAAACCCTCATGAAGAAGAAAACAAAAGGATAGTCATTAGAAAACCTCTGCCCAAGACTTGGGAGGCTGCTGAAAATGGTTGGAGAAAGAGGCAGGAAACAGCACTGATTCATACTAGATTTTATGTTGAGGTTTCAGATAAGCAGCTAGGAAGGGGTGGGTTTTTTGTCATCAGATTGAGAAGTGAGAGCTAACGGATGAGTCATTCTCTTCTCAGAGAATGTAGCTGGGCCAAAGAGTCAAAGGTTCGTAAATATAGAGAATATATGAACTTACTTTTTAGAGCTAGCGTAAAATTGAAGTATAATTTTCCCAATAACTGAAAATAGTTTTGGTGAGATCACTGCTGGGATGTCTTTCAGAAGAACTGCTTATTTCATTTGCATTTTTCAAGTTTCCATTTGGGAAAGTCAAAAGTGCCATTTTATCAATTTGAAAATGAAAATCTTTCTCAAATGCATAATTAGTGCAATTTACTAGAACATTATTAATCTTCTGTTCCAAGCTTTACAGAATTTTTAGTTGAATAAAAACTTTGGTTTACCTTTTCATTCTTTTCGGGAACTGCAAGAGATCTTTGTGTCGGGCACAGCTGTGGTACTCAGTATCCCGAACCTCCTGCTTATGTTTTCTAATACTGCAATAAAATTGCTGTCAGCTTTGCTCTAGCATCTTGATGTGGAGACACACTAAATGGGAGCATCTCTCCTTTTTCCCCAGAGTTAATGTGGGTTGTGGCCCTGCAGAGGAGCGGGTGTTATTAACGGGATTACATGCGGTTGCAGATATTTACTGTGAAAACTGCAAAACCACACTGGGTTGGAAATATGTGAGTATCAGTATCGTTTGTTTTCCCTGTAGACATCTGTGCTCCAGCCCTTCCTGCAGGTGTGTGTATGGTGACATGGTCTCGTGGAAAGACCATTAACTTGGGAACCAGAAATGTGGGTTCTGGTCTGTGGCCATGTCTTTTTACCTTCCTGCATTTCCATTTTCCCTCTTGGGTTTGTTGCATCCACTCAGAGCAGGAGCTCTTTGTGGCTAATGTATTTTTTTACTAAGAATATACACTGTGGGCCTGATTTTGGTGGGTGTCCTTTAGTGATACTTAACATTAATGAGGATAATTATAGTCAGTCTGGTGGTTCATACTGTCTTTTTTCCCAGACAATATCAGAAAAATAGAATGATCCATATATTGTCGATCCTGTGTCCTTCCCACTGGAAATTCTATTGAACATGAGTTTATCCATTTGCTATCTCTTGCTCTTCATAAATTCAATTACCTTCAAATAAAGGCTTGTGCTATGTCCTAATTTCTGCTTCAGGAGGCACACAGCGTACTTGTTTGTCAAAATATCTTGACCAGTGTCTGAGCAAAACATACATTGCATCTGTGGCCTCTGGACAGAAATATTCTTTAATAAATGAGTTGAAAGGCTATAAAAAGTAAAGCATCAAAAATTGATGCAGTAGGAATTCGTGCAGAAACACAGCCCGGATCTCACAAATTGAGGAGGACACTTAAGAACAGAAATTGAATTTATTGTTCAACAGTGGACAAAATTTGGTAAACATAGCAGTAAGCCCAAGCCTCTCCAGCACTAAAGTTCCGTTATTTCAGGTGCGTTACAAACAGCACACCTGAGCAGAGCTGAACATGCAGCCTCAATAACGGAGCCCCTCCTGGCCAGGGATCCCACAGATTTCCTTCCTTGTTCACTTCTGCAGTGTAGAAGCACTGTGTGTTCTGTAGCCACATCACACACCTGTGCAGTGGGTCCCCCTCGTCCCTTGGTGCCCATTCGCTCCATTTCAACATGAAGTTTACCATAATCCGTCCCGTTCCCCATGGCGGTGCTTGTACAGCATGTTTCATCAGAGGGCCCCTGTGTTCTTAACAAACATTGATGAGCTCTCAGACCACCCTAGAGAGAGGTGGGTTTTATCACCGATGATTCCTAAAGCGTAGCTCAAGGAGCGGTTGCCGTTGGCCTACAGAAAGCTGCACGTTCACACGGTGCCAATTGTTTTTTTCCAGCCTGTAAAGACAACTAGAAGCAGGATTTAAGATTCTTCCAACGTGATTTTCCTGGAAGCCAACAGGAGGACCTGCAGTTTGACTGGTTTACTCTGTAGTCAAGGCTGAGACTTGCACCAGCGTTCCCAGATATGATCTGTAACTGTGACTTTACCTTCAAATATCATCTTCATCTCACTCTTTCTTCTTTCTTTAGGAACACGCTTTTGAAAGCAGCCAGAAGTATAAAGAAGGCAAATACATCATTGAACTAGCTCACATGATCAAGGATAATGGCTGGGGTTGAACGGAAAGAGCCCAGCCCCACCAAGCGTGTAAGAGAATGCCATCCAACCGAACATTATATCCAAGAGTGAGAGAGTGACTGAACGCTTGGTTCCATGCATTTAGAGGCTCTGCAGTTTGGGAGCGTCTTCACACCCTTCTCCATCTTTATTGGTGACTGGCCTCTAAATTTCTGTCTCTCTGTCTCTTTGCTTTGTATCTGTTTGTGAGTTGACCCTGGCTGCTTCTCTCTCTGTTCTGGCGTTGGCTAAGAGAATGCACCGACCGCCCGACAGCCATTCCATGTTGACGAATGTTTAAGTACAAACTGAAGTTGGCTCTGTGGTGGCGTTTCCTCAGAAGGTCTCGGTGCAGGAGGAAGACCTGAGTTTTGGGCAGGAGAAGGTGATAGGGGGTGGGGAGTGGGCCCGAAGGGAAGTCATCAGAAGTTGAAGCTGTACTTCTCCTTTAAGTCCTGGTTAACCAAGGCTTGAAACTATCCACTTCTCTAAGTGGACAGAAAAATACCTCACGGCTGCGTTCTCTCCGAATGGTAAAACTGCTGCTCCGTCAGTGGAGCTTCAGTCTAAGCTGGCTGAGCACAAGTCATAACCAGTTCCCCCCGCAAGCTAACCCCAGTTCTGAGTTTTGTTTTGCCATTTATGAACTCGTCGTTTGGGGGGCGGAGGACCTGGTGGCTGGAGAGATTCCCTGCCTCTCCTTTTTCTCGCTGTTTCGGGGTAGGTAGGCTGAACATCCCAACAGAGCACAGCTGTGGGGAGCGTCCTCACAGCTGGAGAAACCAAATCCTGACTCTTGAGCCCTTCAGAGAGGAGGAGGAAACCGCCTAAGGCACAAGGGGGTTGGAGCTGCAGCTTAGAAAACATGATGGGGAAAAAAAGGCACGTGCTAGGCAAGAAAGAGGGAATTATGTAGAGGAGGATGGGGACAAACGTAGTAACACAGGGTACCCCTTGATTTCCCAGCCTCCGCTGAGCATCCTTGGGGGGCCTGTTACCAATCTTTCACAAGTGCGAGTTGGAAAACACTGTTACAGAATCTTTTTCTTAAATCCCAGGCCCCAGCCACCCGCTCCGCTCTTGGAGCCTGGCAGAGAACTGGTGCGAGAGCAGGGAGAGGAGGGAGCAGAGGAGCCTGGTGGTTGTAGCAGTATTGCACAGGTGGATATTTCAAGCCATGAGGTATCCTCCCCAAAACCTTCCCCCCTTTTCCCACTCCCAGAAGCCTGTGGCAGGCACAGGGAGGTGGGAAAGAAAAAAGAAGCTAAACATCTTCCCCCTACCCCGTAAATTGTCCATGCCCTGGAGTTTAAAGGGGAGGGGTAGATGGGGGCGTCGTAACTGCAAGGGACAAGTCCTTCCCATTTTAATTTTTTCCTTTTAGTTAGTGTGGACCTTCCCGAGGTGGTTTGTGGGGAAGGGGCATCATGCGTGAGAGGGGAGCTGCGTTAGACGTCGGTGACAATGTGAAGTTTGCTCTGCAGCAGTCCAGCCAGTATCTGGTGCATAACTCAAGATTATTTAACCGAATTCATTTTATCTGAGTGAATTTTCTTTTTGTTTGTGGAATTCTTTCAAGTAGGTTAATCCACTGGGGGAAATCTGTCTTAATCCAGAAGGAAAGAGTATTGTGCAGGGGTTTGTAACTCCTTACGAAACCGAAGCTTTGGAGCTGTAATCTGTTGTCGTTTGCCCCCACCCCGAGATACTCTGAGTTACTGTGGGGATCAGGACCGAGGGCTGGGGGTGAGAGAGTGCTTTGCTGTGAAATGGAGGGGACGTGAGCAGAGATGCTCTTTAGGGATCAGGGTGGACCTTATGTGTTGGGTCCTTGTGCTGAAACCCAAACCTGGTGGCCCGTCTAAGCAAAGGCTGTTTTCTCTGTTGAACCACTATTCTTTACAGCCTTGAGAGAGAAGTGAGATGGGGGCTGGTGGCAGCTCCTGCCATGGGTGGAGTTGGCTCGGATTGTGGCTAGCCTGTTAGGCTTTCGTTCCTGATTGTCTGTACTTCCATCCTCCACGTTCCCTTCAGTGATAAAAATCTGGTAGAAACCAAAAACTCTGGAGTACCTGCTATCTTGTTGACTTTGGCATTGGCCTGGTCCCATTTTCCTGTCCTTTGGTTTCTGATCCATGACAATTTATTGGGTTTTGGCAAGTGGGAAGTAGTCTATGTTCTCTGACAAGCTCTTCAGTCTCCCCAGATATGGAGTCTTTAAGGGAATCTGGCTGGAGCTGGGAGAAGTAAGGGATAACCCCAAATCATGAATAGGAGACTGAGAGAAAGAGCACTCGTGGGCTCATGGTTTTATGTTGGCATTTAGAGTGATAGCCTAAAAAAAGCGATGTAAAAGGTAGGCCTGTCTAGAGGACTGCTCTGAGACATAAGAACAGTTACTACAGAGAGCTACCAGATGTAAATGCTTTATCCATGTATTTAGGGCAAGAAAGGATGATGGTCCATGAGATTGGGCTGTTTTTTAACTGTTCACAGGGGTTACGCTGTTAATGGCAACCAGGCTAAGCTTGAATCCGGCAAGATCTTAATCTGGTTTTAATTGGTTTTGTCCCATCAGCATCCACAGATTCACACTTGGCTGGGAATCTGGCCTCAAGCCCCGATACGAAAAAACCACGTGTGCCTGTAAGTGTCCCCAACACCCAGAGAATTATCTTTAGAGGGACTTTAATACACGCTACAGGCAGATAAGGAAAAATGGGCTTGTGAGGCTCATTGGCGTTTGTTCTCTGCTACGTGTCCATGAAATACAAAGTACTGCTTAGTCCGCTGCCAACTCACTGCGACGTGCTCTGGTAAGACACATGACAGTATTAGGAGCCGGTGACTGGACAGGGTGGTCAGATCTGTATGTTAGTGGCTCCTGCCATCAGCACGGGCTGGATCGATGACTCCTAGAGCGGTGTATTCAGAGCATAACCAAAGAACCTCACTCCCTGCATCCTTCTGGTCGTGCGAGTTGACTGTAGCCGGTTCCTTACGGATCGGAGTGAGCAAGGTGGGACTGTGGTTTCTGAGCTGGAGATGTGGCCCATGGGACCTGCTTCCTCGGGCAGGTGATGCCTGAACACGGAGCGCCGAGTGCCCGTGGTGCTGCTTTCCGTGGGTGACGTCTTCGGGAAAACACGAACAGCAGTGAGTTTTGCTCTTTTTTTTACATGGCAGCCTCGTCTCTGGCAAGCTGCGTGCGCCTTTGAGTTTACATCACCCCCAGCTACCCCAAAGCTCAGACTCGAGTAAGTTTTAAATTGTTTTGCTCTGGTGGATTATCTGATGTGAAATCCTGATCCCTGTAATAAATATTCAGATGATAATATATACAAAGCAGGAAAAAAAAAAAACAAAACACATTAGCTTGTTAAATATACTTTTGTAAATAATATTTAATTTTTTTAAAAAAATAATATATTTGGTGCTGTTTTCTCGGAGCCCCTCCCTGAGAGCACTTTTTTGTTGTTTATGAATGATACTGTTTCCTTCTGTATTTGTTGGAAAATATGTTCAAAGGGAAACAAAAATCATAATATACGTTGTCCTCTTAAGTCGATCCATTTTTCCTCTGGACATGGCAGGAGGGGGGAGTCACTCCTGCTTCCACCCGACAGAATTTGTCTCCGACGCGGGCGGTGGCCGGGTTACGGACAGCAGCCCACGGTCCGGGCAGGTACGGATGTGTGGGACGGGAGGTGGCTCCGGGCACCCGGGGAGCGCTCCAGTGTCTGGAGTCAAATGCTGAAGCATCTCCACTCGGTGCCGGAGGCCCCGTGCGGCAGCCCGAGCCCCGTGCCACCTCGCGCTCCCACCGCGAGTCCCATGACAGCCCGTGGGGCTCCGTGTGGGCACGACTTTCCTGAGGAGATCTGGTTTGTAGGATCCAAGCCTGAAATTTTCTCTTGCACCAGTATTGGCTGGAGTGAAGTAGACACCGAGACTTAGAAACCAGGATTGAATGTAAGCTGCAGCCTCCGAATCGCTGCTTCCAGGTGCTTGGGGGCAGCAGGGAAGGAGGATGGAGATTCCTAACTAGTCATTGTTTTTAAACTAAAACGTAAGTCTTTGGACATGGATCCTGGTTTTCTTTTGGTTGTTTTTTTTTGTTGTTTGTTTGTTTGTTTGTTTGTTTAAACCAGGCTGCTACATAACAAATTAGAGTAAAAGTTTACCTCTCTGGCAGTAAAGTGGATTTTTTTTGTTTTCCTTTCTGTCTTTAACCTCCCCCTTTTTCCCCCTTCTTCGTTTTTAATTCATTTGGTCTCTTGTTTTTCCCAAAGTGGACCAACAGCACAAACCACTGGACTGTGTTTTGCTGAGCAAGGAGCTGCTTTCAGTGCTGCATAACTGTTGCACGCTCTTTAATTCTCTGGTTTTGGTGCACACGATTGAAAAATATACAGGGAAACAAAACAACCCTACGAATGAAATCTGTTGTTCTTGTGATGATCAAGTGAGAATTTTCTCTGCGTTTTTCTAACTGGTGTGTGAGAGTGTGTTAATCATGCATTTCACTGCACTTCCTTCTTTCGGGAGGAGCATCGTGTTTCCGTGTGAACCAGTTCTTGGATGAAGAGATGACACCCCAACACCCAGTTGGGTAGATTGGTGAGAGCCAGAGCTCAGCTCAGTGGGAAGGAGCTCTTCCCACCAGGTGAGAGGCCTCAGAAATTCAATGCTCAGAAACAGTTACATTAGACAGAGATTTTGCAGAATCTTGTTTGAAAAGAGTAAGCAGAAGAGGGGAAACAAAATCATCTTGAATTCCAAAAAAAAACCCCAACCCAACATATTCAAATGCAAGCAGAATGGCATTGTGTAAGGTACAACCACAAATAAGCTATTCTCATAGTTACGAACTGTCTGTATCCTTTGTTTTGTTTTTCGTAAGGAAATGGGAATGCTTTCCCCACTGACAAAACTAAAGGACGATGTTTCCGATACCAGCCTGTCTCTTGATGCTCTTGTGTTTACAAATTGTGTATACTTTTATTTCTTGGATCTTATTTTATTTTTTGGCATATTCTTTCAGGTCATTTGCTTCAGTAATAAATGCAATTGTTTGTTTTCAAATAATTGGTTTTCACCTTTTCATGTATTTGTACATTGTATATAGTTCTTCAGTATTAGAGGGAGGCGTATTGTTTGTCATATTTACAATATGTGTTGGTGCTCATTTGAGAAAATAAAATTTTCAAGTACTAAAACTGTTGGTCCACGTTTCTGTTTCCGGGCGCGTGAATTGGAGGCAGCAAAATTCAGTTGTTTGAGAAGTGTTACATTTAGCTTGAAAATAGTCAAATTATCCTCTTTTCCAATAGCCGCCGGTGCGGCGCAGTCACCTGCTGTGCACTTGAGTCGCGTCAGCACGTAGAGGCTGCAGCGATGGGCAAAGACCCCGTCGGGCAGAGCAAAGAGATGATCCATAGCCCCTGAAGTCCGGGATTTGGTACAAGAGGAAACTCCAAAATTTGTGCAGGAGACAGTGCTGACCCACCTGTCACCACCGTACCGTAACCGAGTGCCTTTCCCAAAACCAGACCGCCAAGGGAAGCACGTACCTCGTTTTGTGAGGAATTACGTGATTTTAAAAGTATTTTTCAAGCAGCAGCAATAGCGAGAAACCCATGAAATAAAATCCCACCATTCCCATTAAATTGTTTCCCATGGATGAAGGTTGCCTTCGCGGTGCCTATGATGGTAAAACGGGTCAAGAAATTCCCAGTGGCCAGAAAACCAGCCTGGGGTTTGCTGCTTGGTGGGATTCACTGTGTGGCATCTCTGCTCGCAGGTGAGTGGGGTCCAGCGTTTCCAGTTCCCAGTGCCTTCAGCTCGAAAAT